AAGGGCTGCAGCCGAGGGAGCCTCCTCTGCAGAGCCCGGGCCCGCACGGCGGCTCCTGCTCGGCCGGGGCTGCAGCTGCCGCCTGGGAGCTGAGAACGCAGCAGGGGAGGATTCCGTGGGAGTTCCACAGGAACTTAAGGAAAAATTTCTTAACAGTGAGGGTGACAGAGCACTGGAACAGGCTGCCCAGAGAGGTTGTGGAGTCTCCTTCTCTGGAGATCTTCAAACCCACTTGGACCAATCCTGTGCCACGTGCTCTAGGTGACCCTGCATGTGCAGGGGGTTGGACTGGGTGATCCCTAGAGGTCCCTTCCAACCTTCAGCATTCTGTGATTCTATGAAGCACTGGGGCCAGCACGGCTGGAGGGGAGGGTTCCCCCCTCGGTCTCCCAGCGCACTCTCCCGTCTGTGTTGCGCGTTCCTCGCGCTTCCCTCCCTCATTCTGTGTTTCCGTGGAGCCCCGGAGTCTGGGACACGGCAGTGGCTGCTGCTCATTCCCTGCGTGCCGGCTCCGAGCGGTGGGGAGGGTTTCAGCCTGGCCGTTTGTCTTGCAGCCTGGCTCAGACAGCGGGACGACGGCGGTCGTGGCCCTGATCCGGGGCAAGCAGCTCATCGTGGCCAATGCCGGAGACTCCCGCTGCGTGGTGTCCGAGGGCGGCAAGGCGGTGGACATGTCCTACGACCACAAGCCGGAGGACGAAGTGGAGCTGGCCAGGATAAAGAACGCGGGTGGCAAGGTCACCATGGACGGCCGAGTGAACGGTGGCCTCAACCTCTCCAGGGCGATCGGTGAGCAGGGCCGGGGCCAACGCCTGGTGCCCCCGGGCACCTCTGCGTCCAGCGCTCCCCCTCCCCAGAGCTTTAGGGCAGTTTTAATCGGGTGGTGGCTGCAGCCTGTTGAATGTTTAACATGGTGAGATTTCAGTGGAATTAGAGAAAAATGGTGGTGAATTTCCATGTTTGCTGAAATGGGCAGACAGCAATGGAAAGAGCAGCACCGCCAGGCTGCAGTGCGGGACACAGTGCAGGACTCCAGGACTGTGGTGCCCATAGCCACGCTGGGCTGGTGTCTCAGGCTGTTGGTGGATTTGTGAACAGGGAGGATTTGTTCCTCTCTGCTGCTCATTGAGAGGCTGTTCAAGGACCTTGCACCTTGGCTGCTCCTTGGGGACCAAACTTTATACCCGCTTGAGCCCATTTGTTCTTGAGCCACTTGTCCTCCAGCTCCATAAGCTACATTTTCCTCCCGGAGGCAGCACCTGGCTGCTGCCTGTCCTCATCCTTCAGCCTCTTGGGAGCAGCAGAGGAATGATGAACAGCCGGGAACGGCCTCATTTTGAGCAGATGAGATCTTTTAAGGAAGGGGTTGTGAATAATACCAAGAACGTACTGGAAGGTACACAGGGAAGGGAAGGAAATGTCAGCAACTAAGAGAGCTGGGGCCATTGAGTGTGGAGAGGAGGAGGCCCAGGGAGACCCTATCGCTCCCTACAACGACCTGGAAGGAGGCTGCAGGGAGACGGGGGTCGGTCTCTTCTCCAGGATAACTGCAGGGAGGACAAGAGGAAACGGCCTCCAGCTGCGCCAGGGAGGTTCGGGTTGGACATTAGAAGAATTTCTACATGGAAAGAGCAGTCAAGCAGCAGAACGGGCTGCCCAGGGGAGGGGGGGGTCCCGGTCCCTGGCGGTGCTCAAGGAACGTGGGGAGGAGGCGCTCAGGGACCCGGGTTAGCAGGATGGTGCCGGGGGCTCCCGGCCGCCCTCGCTGCTCTCCAAGGTCTTTTCCAACCATTACGATTCTGTAAGGACCTGAATGGAGACCTTCTGTGCAAAATGACTGGAAAACAATGGAATAATTATCAGGGCAAAGCGATTAAATGCATTTGGGAGGGAAAGTTGGGGTCTGATTTTGCTAGGGAGGGCCCGGCCTTCCCGCCTTCCCCCGCGATCCCTTCCGGGCGCGTGAGCGTAGGTGAACCTGCCCGTCGGAGCCGGGGGTTGGTTTTCTCACGTGAGCTCTGCCAACGAGGCCCTGGCAGGACCAGGGCAGCAGCGCCGGGTGGCTGCCCGGGCGGGTATCCCGCTGGAACGGTGGGTAACGAGCGAGCGCTGAAACGACAGCAATCCCGGCCGGTCCTCCCGCTCCAGGACGTGTCCGGAGCGGAGCCCGCTCCGTGCGCGGAGCTGCAGGAGCCCAGGCAGTGCCAGGGGCCGGTCCGGGAATGGGGAGGTGACGCTCACACGGGGTGCGGAGGTGCCGGGCTGGGGAGGCGCCGTGCGGCTCCGGTCTGCGTAGCCGCTGCGGCCAGGCAGCCCCTGCGCGCTCCCAGGGCTCCTCCGCTCCGCCCCCCC